CAGCCACTGGACCAACTTTGAGCTCTTTTACTGAGAGAGCCGGCACCAGAAGGCTGCTGGGAAAGTTCTGTGCGGGAGCTACAAGAACCATGAGTGAGAATGTCTCACTCCTAGGGAAATCATTACAGAGATCAGCAGGATTTCCACTTGTAAGGTGGACGGTATTACCCCTATGTGAGGAGCGGGAAAATAAAACACCTTCAAGTGCCGCAAAATAGAGTGGTCTTTTTTACAAATCAAACTTCCTTCCCCCCCCCCCCATTTGAAAGTTTATCGCTTCTCCAGGCCGCTGATTATTACTGCGGCTCCCTGCTGAATTAAACCGGGGTTCTGTTCTGTAGTGATAGATGCCCAGAACTGTGTGAACTTGACTATGACATAGATTAGCTGATCAGGATGTTAGCCAAAAGCCCATATTACTGAGAAAAAGCCTTTCTTCTCCAGGCCCGTAGCTACAGTGGGGCTTTTGGAGGCTTCGCCCCCTTTCTTAAAGGCACAGCCCCACAAGAATTTCTCCTGTAAATGCTTTTTTCAACCATTTAAAAACGTTTTTTAAAGGCATGCACTCCTTTAAGCAGAGTGGGGTGCTGTAGTGGACTAATTCCTGCGCTGAGCAAGGGAGTTGGAGTAGGTGACCTCTAGAATCCCTTCTAACTCTGTGTCAAGAAACTGGTTTCCTTTAAGAGAGCTTTTCTGCCTAAGTGTTAGCTTTCTTGACTATAGAAGTCATCACCCCCACCTGCCGGCTTGTTATCAGAATTGTTGCTTAGGCTGGCAGATGTGATTCACTTGCAGCAGCTGAGGACTGTCATCTAAAGTGGTTGACACTGTGCAATTTAGAGATCAGGTAACTGCTTTCTACTGGTTTAAATGGCTTTTCTTTCTGCACTGAGAACTTCAGCCCCACCAGAAAAAAAATTGCCCCACAATCCACAAACTCCTGGCTACGGGTCTTTTCATTTCTCTCCTGCTTTGATCGATCTGAGGCTAAATAATGTTAAATGAGCATTACCTCCATCTTCTAGGAGCTCAATACCATTTCCATGACAAACTTGTCCATTATTGGGAAGGGTCCCCTCACTGTATCCCTTTTTATACATTATGAATCAGAGGCTGGACTGAACTCGTCAGATCTCCGAATTTGCGCATGGTCAGCCATGGTTAGTACTTGGATGGAAGACCACTAAGGAAGCCCAGGTTTGCTGTGCAGAGGCAGGCGATGGCAATCCACCTCTGAATGTCTCTTGCCTTGAAAGCCCTACAGGGTCGCTATAATCCAGCTGCAACTTGATGGGTCTTTCCACCACTGGATGGCTCGTGAATTGCCTGGTAGAGGGCCGCTTTTTAAAAGATTCTGGACTGTGTGGAAGAACCTACATGCACACAATTTGCACATGCTTAGGTAGGGCTAGTTCTGACTCCACATGTGAGATCTGGAGACAGACCTTGATGCTGTGACCCTTCTTTACACCTGTTCAGTGGGAACGATGTGTGTCCAGGGCTCACATAAATAAATAAACTGTAGCTGTTTTGTGATCCTGCTCTCCATTAGAGAAAGCCCAACCACAGAATTATGTTTTATCAGAGCCCTTAAGCCAGAATGGGGCAACAAATGGTCATGTTCCTTCAAGGCATGCTATAGAGAGGACGTGTTCAGTGCTGAAACAATGGTGTGATTGCTTCGGCATACACTGAACTTGTTCCATCTGTTCCATCTTCCAAAGTATCTCCCATCTGTCCACTCACCCGCCATTCACAACATGTCACTTCGTTGGGATGGGCCAGGAACATGAGTTGGAGCCAGACCCCTTTTGCCAGTTCAGTTCCTTCTGGCAATGTCTCCCTCCTTCCCTCCCTCCCTCCTTCCCTCTCATATATCACATCTTATTATATAGATGATCTCTTTCTACATATAATAGCGATTTCCAGCTCTACCTTGTCACACTCAGGATGGTCATGCTCAGGACATGTCTAAAAAACAGAATGCTGGAAAAATAGAAATAAGCAATATGCTGCTGATAATGCATCGCCACCTCCACTTAGCTTGGGATCTGGGCTCTTTTTTGTTGCAGGAACTCCTCTGCATATTAGGCAACACACCCTTAATGTAGCCAATCCTCCAAGAGCTTACAGAACTCTTCTTACAGGGGCTACTGTAAGACCTTGGAGGATTGGCTACATTAGGGGTGTGTTGCCCAGGGCTATTTTTGGGCAGGAACGCACAGGAACGGAGTTCCGGCTGGCTCCCGAGTTGGCCACACCCAGCAGGAACTCATTAGCATAATAGGCCACACCCAACAGCAGAAACTCATTAGGATTGGCTGCATTAGGGGTGTGTGGCCTAACATGCAAAGGAGTTCCTGCTACAAAAAAAGCCCTGGGTTTTGACAATAAACAAGGTAAACAGAATAAGAAGCAAAAGGTGGGTGTGGCTGGATAACCACACTTCTGGTAATATGGGGTGTGTGGCCTAATATGCTAATGAGCTGTGCTGTCAGGGTGTGGCCTAATATGCTAATGAGTTTATGCTGTTGGGTTTGGCCTAATATGCTAATGAGTTCCTGCTGGGCTTTTTCTACCAAAAAAGCCCTGGTGTTGCCTAATATGCAAATGAGTTCCTGCTACAAAAAGAGCCCGTTCCTCCAATATAACAGCACCCCCACTTCCCCCCCACTCTGCTACTACAGCTTCTTAAAAGCAACACCCACAGTTAAGTAGTATGCTCATTCTCCCAGTAGTCACTAACCAGCGATTTTGACTTAAGAGGACTAATCTGTTTCCGTCCATCACATACTCCTACCAAAGGGTTATGTAAGCTACACTCTTTAGTAGGCCCACATGTTTGTATTCAAGTTAATGTTGTCTCTATATAAACCTTTCGCACTCATTAAATCTGAAGATCACTTGGTAATGTTAAGTTCAAGCTGGGCATGTAACCTCATTTTTTTGTGCTTGCTTTCTGATTTTCGCTTGGAACAACAACATCATGTGAAGGTAATTGGTGCATAACTGGAAATTGCACTTCCAGTAGTTGGCACTGGAGCTTTTTTTGCTGTTGTAAAGGACCAACCCAACCTAAATGAAAAGACTACAAATGAGGGCCGAGGACTCACCAGTGGCACCTGGCCTACAGATACGGCAATTCTTGTGTTAGTTTGTAGTACATTGTTTCTTTCAGTCATTGGACTGAGTCAACTGGTTTCTTTCTGCTAAGTGAAGAATTGTACATTGGAAGAAAACTCCTTCCACTGGAAGGAAGTTCCTTCCATTGAAGGATGAACCCTTCCTTTAACAGAAGGATTTTTTCCCCCTCCAGCAGCTGCTGGACTGAGTCCAACAGTTTCCTTCTGCTAAGTGAGGAATCTTCCATTGGAAGAAAACTTCCATTGGAAGCTCCTGTCATTGGAGAAAGAAGTCTCTCCTCATGTAGAGGAAGAAAACAAGTGGATCTATCCCACTGCAAGCAGCCTCATGACTCACCAACAAATCTTTGTGACCTTCCCTTCTGGTCATCTGGAAGTTAAGGCAGAAGAATACAATGCTTCATATATATTCAATTAAAAAGGTAAAGGTTCCCTTGCTCGAAAGCCAGTCGAGTCTGACTCTAGGGTTGCGGTGCTCATCTCCGTTTCAAAGCCGAAGAGCCAGCGCTGTCCGAAGACGTTTCCGTGGTCATGTGGCCGGCATGACTAAACACCAAGGCGCACGGAACGCTGTTATCTTCCCACCGAAGTGGTACCTATTTATCTACTTGCAATTTCTTGCTTTCGAACTGCTAGGTTGGCAGGAGCTGGAACTAGAGACAGGAGCTCACTCGATCACACGGCACACTCGGGTCTCGAACTGCTGAACTACCGACCTTCCACAGCCTGCAGTTCAGCGTCTTAACCACTTGAGCCACCGCAGCTCCATATATTCAATTAAGTTTAAATAAATAAATATACATTTGCTGAGACCTCAACAGAAGTGGCTCTGAAGAAACAGAGCCATATCTCAGAACTGAAATCAAAGTTACCACTCAGCAGAAAAAGCCAATTAAACATTTTCTTTGTTTATCTCCATTATTCAGGTGGGTAGCTGCGTTGGTCTGAACCAGCAGAACAAAGTTTGAGTCCAGAGGCACCTTTGAGAAGAACTTAAAGGTGCTGCTGGACTCCAATTTTGTTCATCCCCATTATTGCAACACACCAGAAATCCATATAGCATTTGTGCATCCCTACTATTTCATAAGGTTGGTAGCTTTAGGGTAGAATTTTGTGTGGGGTTTACTCCGAGTCTAAATCCATTGACCTCAATGGTCTTAGGATGGATTCACTTTAATGCACTGGTGATTGGCATAGATTGATTAACCCAAGCTTCAGTTGATTGAGTGGAGGCCCATTTTAATCAGCTGGGCTGAGAATTTAGGGCACATCCAGAGGTCGATTCGGGGGGGATCGTGGGGGATCTCAGTCCCCCCGGGTGAGGTGCAGGGGGCGGGGCACATGAAGCCCCGCCCCCTGCTTCCGGCCACCCCCTTCTTCCAGCCTCATTCTGTTGCAGAAGGAGGAAGAAGCAGGAGGGTAAGTTGGTGTCCTCCCCCTCTGCCTGGCCGAGGCCACTCCACGTGGCCTCCCCAAGGACTCCCAGCCCCATCCAGGAGCTTCCCCGAGGTAGCTGTGTTAGTCTGTTGCTGCAAAATAGTCCAAGAGTTCAAATAGCACCTTTAAGACTAACAAATAGCACCTTTAAGACTAACCTTTAAGACTAAGACTGAGTGGTGGGTGTGGCCTTATGACACACTTCCGGTGATGTCAGGGTGTGTGTCATATGCTAATGAGTTATGCTAATGTGTTCCCCTAGCTCTTTTTCTACGAAACGACCCCTGGGCACATTTGTTTATTCTTTGTAGCGTGACCCCGAATGCATTCTAGGTCTAAAAGTTGAGACTCCTCTTTCTGCACATGGCTCCATTGCGTTTTCAGATGTTTTAGAACAATATCACAGAAGGAAAGAGTTACCTCTGCATGTATGACCTCAGCAGCGTGATTCCCAGGAGGAAGTACATCATAATGGAACACACCATCATCGTCAGTCCGAGGAGTATGGCCCGGTCTTCTCCTGCTTTCAGAGCGGTGACTGTTTTCCTTTTGTCCAGTAGATCATGATCCCTGATTTTTTGGTAAATATTTCTGAGGTTGAAAACAATACATTCTTATGTGGAGTTCACACTTAAATCCATAAACCCTCTACAAGGATAGACTGCTCCACCGTCATGGCCTGTCTCATGGGAGAGCAAGGCTTTGGGTTTCCAGGGGTGAGGTTTTCTCAACCATTTGCTGGGACTTGGTAGGGGGAAAAAAAATCACTGACATCCAAAGTATGTTATTCACTTCTGTTGACAAAATGTTGAAAAAGGCCTTTGAGGGAATATGAAAAAAAAGTGACCAGGGATAGCTAGATTGAATTTTAGGTTCCTTAAATAATTCACACCAGAGGAATTTTTACTAGTCTGGTTAAGTCTATTCTGGCAATTCTGGACATGCTCTGAAGGGATTTAGTCCAAGGCTGTGATCACACATGCTAAAGAATCCACTTTCAATCCATTTTCAATGCACTTTCCAACTGGATTTTGCCAGTTCACACAGTAAAATCCAGTTGGAAAGTTAACTGAAAATGGATTATTTAGTGTATGTGATCGTGGCCTAGGAGACACTACAAGAGGAAGTGTCCAGCACAAGAACTGCCATCAAATGTATGTGGCTGCTGCTGAAAATGGCAGCTCTGTATTGATTTCTCCATTTGTAAAATGAAGTTCAACTTGCCTTGTGTAAAATTTCTGTGCCACTAACCACATTGACTGCCATTGGAAGGGTGGGAAAATAGTATTATACAAGTGGAGACCCGCAAGAAACTTGCGGGATGGTTATCCTATTCCTCACGCCTTTGCTTCCTCCTGTCTCCCCCTACCTCTCTCATACTCTTTCTCCCTTCTGCCCCCCCTTTCTTTCTCTCTCTCCTCCATGTATGGTTTGGAGGGTGGAGTCTATGGCATTATACTGGTCTGTAGTTTCTCCCCTCCTCAAATCCCACCCTCCCCAGGCTCCACCCCTCAAACATCCAGGAATTTGCCAATCTGGAGTTGGCAACACAATTTCACTCTACAGAGCTGCCAGTTTCAGCAGTAGCTGTGTGTTTCTGGTAACATACAGTTCAACCATCATAGAAAGAATATTTTCTTGGAAGAAATGTTTCACACCTGAAAGGTACTGTCCACATGTTAATAGTTTTCTGACACAACTGAGTTTTCACCAGGGAACAAAAATAGCATTTGCACTTAGGATAAGAGTTTCTTGGACTTTTGGAGGCATTTAATAAGTGCGAACTACATTCTGAGTGAGAAGGGAAGATCTTGAAATATGGGGACAGAGATTCAGTAAGAAAGGTGAGCAGAAAGAATCTGAATTCTCCAGTTTTCAAAGGTCCAGTTCATTAATTAACTAGCTAGCACAGTTGGTGTGGTGGAAAACCACTTTGCCTTTTCCTGTCCACCAGGTCCTCAATGACATATATATACGGCACGGCATCCACACAGAAGATCATATTAACAGTGGTCTTATTTGGCCTATTCTTCCCTCTTAAAAAGAGGGGTGAAGAAGGGGTAGAGGACAACAGCTACAAGGGCTTCTGTGGGGAACATCATTTCATACACATACATTATTGAGGAGTTGGACTTCTGTCCTTCCAGCAAATGAACCAGAGTTCTAGTAGTAAGTATGCGATCCGAGTTTATGGCTCCTCACCGAGCAATCTAAATCCAGAGATCGTTTAGGCGTATTATGATTTTAGTGCCCAAAATTATAATAGTTGATGTGCCATACAATGTGAAGTAACAATTCCCCGCCTATGGCTCGCAACCGTCCATTAAAAAGGAAGCATCAGTGTTGCCTGCCAATCACTCGGTATGAACTGTTTATGGCCATCATTATCTAGCGGTTAGAAACACATAAAGTGCCAACAATCCATAGAGATATAAAAATGGTAGAAGCCCAGAGGAAGAAATACAGATTGTATCAACTATATTCCTGTACAATGGTGATACTCGTCTATATTAAGCCCTCTGCCAGTGTTATGGTGGTGTTCCTTTCGCATGTGGGAGCCCACCAGCCACACATTTTGGGAGCGCAATACGCATAATCCCATAGTGTGTGAAGGAGGCAATGGATGGATTTCCATGCAGGTGTAGCTTCTATTCATGCAACCTTATGGAAAGTCCAGGGCTTTTTTTGTAGAAAAAACACATCAGGAACTCATTAGCATAACAGGCCACACCCAACATTAGAAATACAGTAGCCTATTAGGCCACACCCCTGACAGAGCAGCTCATTAGCATATTATGCCACACCCCACATTACCAGAAATGTGGTCATCCAGCCACACCCACCTTTTGCTTCTTATTCTGTTTACCTTGTTTGTTGTCAAAACCCAGGGCTTTTTTTGTAGCAGGAACTCCTTTGCATGTTAGGCCATGCACCCCTAATGTAGCCAATCCTAAAGAGTTCCTGCTGTTGGGTGTGGCCTATTATGCTAATGAGTTCCTGCTGGGCGTGGCCAACTTGGGAGCCAGCCAGAACTCCGTTCCTTTGCGTTCCTGCCCAAAAATAGCCCTGCGAAAGTCTATGTGCTGCCCAACTCACACGTCACAGGATCACATGCATCAGGCGCATGCATTGTGGGAACCTGCATGCTCTCGATATGTATGACTGTTGGGCTCCTGCAACACGATAATGGAACATTTGCAGGGGGGTCTAGGATCAGTTGTAAAACATATCCAGATCTACTGAATTGCCGGGCGGGAGGGAGGGGGCTCAACTGAAGGTTGGTCTACTTCTTTAAACACAAGAGTGCCAAAAATCCAAAGTAGATAAACACCCCCAACAGTGCAACAGTTCAGAAAAGGAATCCCCTGTGGTTAAACTAGGATGGGCAATTTTTGAATTCAGAATTACTGTGCCTCTCCAGGTGAGGCTACATAGCAGAAACAACAGGTGGAGACAGGTAGAACAGAAAACATAGAAGCACAGAGCTGGAAGGGATCCGTAGGGTCATCTAGTCCTCCCCCCTGCACAGTGCAGGAAATTCACAGCTACCCCCCCCAACTCCCCCAGTGACCCCTGGTCTATTCCAAGAAGAAGAAGAAGAAGAAGAAGAAGAAGAAGAAGAAGAAGAAGAAGAGGAGGAGGAGGAGGCCCTTCACTTCCCCTCCCCACAACAGACACCCTGTGAGGTGGGTGGGGCTGAGAGAGCTCTTGACAGAAACGGCTCTTTTTTAAGAACAGCTCTTATCAGAACTACGGCTTGCCCAAGGTCATCCAGCCAGGTGCAAGTGGAGGAGTGGGGAATCAAACCCGGTTCTCCCAGATTAGAGTCCGCGCTCTTCACCACTACACCAAAAACCTCCAGGATCCCGCTGCCAATCTGACCTGGAGCGACCTTCCTTCCTGACCCCAAAGTGGCAAACTGCATTACCCTGGGTAGTTAAGAAAGGGCCACAAGAGCCGAATATGGGCTCATCCCTTCCCACACACCCCTCTCATGATCTGCTTCTGGCCAAGGTAGAATGAAATCTGGTGGTTCGTGGTTAGGGTTGTCAATCTCCAGGTGGGTTCTGGAGAGTTCCCAGAATTACAACTGATTTCCAGACTACAGAGGTCAATTCCCCTGGAGAAAATGGCTGCTTTGGAGGGCGGGCTCTCTGGCATTATACCCTGCTCTCTCCTCCTCCACCCCCAACCTCTCCCCAGGCTATACCCCAAATCTCTTCCTAACTTGGAGTTGGCAACCTAGTTGGGAATGGAGTTTGGCAGGTTATGGGCAGAGTGGGGAAAGTTAGGGGAAGAGCCTGAGTGAATCATAGGGTTGGAAGGTACCTCCAGGGTCATCTAGTCCAACCTCCTGCACAATGCAGGAAATTCACAAATACCTCCCCCTCCACACCCTCAGTGACCCCTGTTCCATGCCCAGACGATGGCAAATAATCTCTAGGCTCCCTGTCCAAATTGGTCTGGAGAAAAATCGCTTCCTGACCCCAAAGTGGCAATCAGCATTTCCCTGGGCGTGGAAGAAAGGGCCACGGCAACTAAGCGCTGAGGCAACCCTTCCTGCCCTCCCTCTCATGATCTGCCTGAGTTCACAGAATCTGCATTGCTGTCAGATGGCCTCTGTTTGGAAACCTCCAAAGACGGAGAGCCCACCACCTCCCGAGGAAGCCTGTCCCACTGAGGGTCATGAAGTTCTTCCTAATGTTTAGCCGAAAACTCTTCTGACTTAATTTCAATCCGTTGGTTCTGGTCCGACCTTCTGAGGCAACAGAAAACAACAAGAATCGGGTGGTTCTCTCTTTTCAGGTCCCGACACAGGCGACCTCCCAGATCTCTCTTTTGCCAGTAGGATCAATAAATGACCGTCTGTCTGACAGCTCTGAACCGAGCCTCTAGATATTGATTGGTGGCTCTATGGATTGTTAGTCCTTTCTGCATCAGATTATATCACAGGCAATCCTTTCCACAGACAGTTCATACGGACTTATTTTGCAGCAACGGTGCTCCTTTTAGGCACTGTGATATTTCTGCAGGTGCATCTCACCTGGTTTTTTCTTGGGGGGGGGGGTTGTGCTTACAATGTAGACAGGCATGACCAGCGGAGCAGACTTCTGAACCGTTTCCATTGAAATGCAGACCATGACCGAGGCATGAGGATGGGTTGGGTGGGAAGTGGGTACACTTTACTAGGGTCCACAGGGGAGGGGGGGGAGTCTGGGTCGCAAGCTGATATGGTCAGCTGACATCATTTCAGCAGCAAAACAGACATTTGACCGACAATGGCCTCTCCTTTCGTCCCCATGTTCAAATCACTGTTTTTTTTAAATTTTAAAAATACTTTTTATTTTTGGCTCTAATTGATCTTATGATGTGTTTTATACATGTTCTGCTTTTGTTAGCCACCTTAGTGCTCCCCAAGTAGGGTTGCCAGCCTCCAGGTGTGGCCTGGAGATCTCCTGCTATTACAACTGATCTCCAGGCATTAGATTTTAGTTTCCCTGGAGAAAATGGCTGCTTTGGAGGGTGAATTCTATAGCATTGTTCCCTGCTGAATCCCCCCCGAAACCCCTCCCTCTGCAGGCTCCACTGCC